GTGTGAAATAGTTTGCCAACTTTTGTAGACAAAGTACGAAAATGTCAATTCCAGTGATTTTTTTGGAAATCTCAAATACAGGAAAGACGCACTTCTGGCTATTTCGTTAACGCTGATTTCGTTGAAGAATATAGTCAAATGTCTGTATCTCATATAGATGCGTTTCAGTCAAAAACCAATAATAAATGTTAATCTTTTGCCACTTCTGAGAGATTATAGGTCATTGGGAAATATTGGTTCCAGATCTAGGAAGACCATTTACGTGCAACATCTACCAATAAATTGGAAATGAGCAAATTAGTTCAAGTTTCTATTATTCGAAAATTAGAGAACGAAACCTGATGGTTTTCTTTTATTATTTGTCACAATATCTTGTAGAATTCTTTCGAGTATCTGGCCTATATAAACTGTATCATTTATTATAGTGTTGTAGGGTATTCAACGGTCGGCCCCGCTCGACTGTAGCCTTTGCTTACTTGTTTTGTTTTAATATTATTTTTCTACAAACTTTTATAGAAATGCATAGTTGTGCATATTAATTTCCGGTTCTTTTATATGAAACTAGGTGAACCCGGTGCGCTTCGCTACCCCTTTTGATTTTATATGCATTCAAAATTTTATTTACGAATATATGTTGGTTAAAAAAAAACGAATCTAAAAATTAAAAAAAAAAAAATATTGCACTACTTTAATACGTAAATAAACAAAACCATTAGCAAAGCAGTAAAAAGACATGTCCTTCGGATTTATTTATTTCATAGCAAATACCAAGCGTGCAGTAAACTGCAATCTTTTAAAGTTGAGTGGCATTTCTATTGCAATTAGTGAATTCGAGATAGCAACATACTTCGCCGTCATAAGCGTATTTCAAATTAATTGTTGTGTAGTTTTTTACTGTTAGAGTAAGGCGGTGTGGGTCAATGGTTCTTATTAAAATCATATCCCAATCTGATCCAATTTAAATATAATTTTAAAAAATTTACTTTTACACCAAATTCCGCCACACCTTTCATATTTCATTGAAATTGGTGCGTCAAATATGTGAAATCGGCCGAGAATATATATAAGGGAGCTGTATGCAAATCTTAACTAATTTCCAATTAATTTGTCACATTTATTATTGTAATCAAATTCCGCCACACATTCTGAATTTTATTTAAATCGGTCTACATATCGTGTTTGGTGCATAACATTTATGAAATCGGCCGAAATATATATGTTAGATATACCCAAACCTCAACTGATTTCAATATAATTTGGCCTTTTTTTCTGGTGCTAGATTTCGTCTCTCTCGCTTTGGGTGCATCATATATGTGAAATCGGCCGAGAATATATATGGGAGCTATGACTATAATTTGTCAAATTTATTTTTGTACCAAATTTAGTCACTCATGCCGAATTTCATTGAATCGGAAATACGTATAGTGTTTTGTGAATTAAATATGTGAAATCGGCGGAAAATGTATATGGGAGCTATATCCAAATCTGAACCGATTTTAATATAATTTGACCAATTTATTTTCTAATCAAAATCCCGTCACACATTCCCAATTTCATTGGAATCGAACATACATATCGTGTTTGGTGCATCAAATAAACGAAATCGGTTGAAAATATATATGGGAGCTATATTCAAATCTGAACCGATTTCAATATAATTTTACAAATGTATATTCGTTTTAATTTCTGCTACACATTCCAAATTTCATTGAAATTAGAGATACATAGCGTGTTTGGTGCATCAAATACATGAAATCTGTCGAAAATATATATGGGAGCTATATCCAAATCTGAACCGATTTCAATATAATTTGACAAATTTATTTTCGGATCAAATCCTGTCACATATTTCAAATTTCATAGAAATCGAACATTCATATCGTGTTTGAGGCATCACATGAACGAAATCGGTCGAAAATATATGTGGGAGCTATATCTAAATCTGAACCGATTTCAATATAATTTGGCAAATTTATATTTGTTGTTAATTTCGTTACGCATTCCAAATTTGGAGACTGTATCTGTAATCGATCAATAGATATGTGCATATAAAATCTGCATTTTTGGGAGATACCTCCGATTCTGATGCTATATCTCCACTTCCAAGTGGAATTTCAATAATCTATATAGCCTATGTTACTTTCAAGCGATGTTGCAGTATACATGGAAATTTTCAGGAAAATCTGTTCAGCGGTTTTCCAGTCCATAAATTACAAACAAACAAACATATAAACATTTTCCTCTTTTATAGATATAGATAAACATTTTTGTTTTGTTATAAACCAAAAAAAAAATTGTAGTTTAATTTAACAATGTGTAAGTTGCCGATTTTTTGCTTCTATTTAAAAATTCAAACACCGATTGACAATTTTTCTTGAATTTTTTTGTCCTGGCTACCACACAAGCAGAAGAGAAAAAACTCAGCAGCATGGAAAAGTCTTTTGAGTAAATTGCACAGAATTTGTCGGTAGGACAAATTTAAGAATTTAAGCAGACGTGTCGGAATTTCGACTTTCGCTTTGCTGGTTGCTTCCAAATGATGGCTCGAAAGCCAAACAAATATGTATAGAGTAAGACTCCAATCCGTCAGTTCTTATATGACAACTCAAAATAGTCGGTAGCTATGTAGGACCTTGTATTTATTGTACCATGACACAATCCATCACAAATATATTTTGAAGTTTTTCATAAGTTTGGCAAAGCTTATAAATATTTTTACCATTAACAGCAAATATTAGAAATCACTGTGAACCAAAAATTTTGGTGCAGGATGCGGGATTTCGTGTATCAAGTGGCTATCGTTAGAGCACTCCAGGATTTAAATGTGAATAAATCTCTTGTGTCTCGTACCATCGCTCGTTACCGTGCTACGGGTAGCGTAGCCCGACGTCAAGGAACTGAACGGAAGAAAACAGCAACATCAGCAGAAATGGTTCGAAAAGTAAAGAAGAGACTTGACCGAAACCCGCGTCGCAGAGGCCAAAAATGGCTCGTGAGCTGAACATATCGCAATATTCCATTCGGCAAATATTGAAAAATGATCTCGGGGCAAAGCCATTGAATTTCCAAAAAGTGCAACAACTAAAACCGCAACAGAAATAAAATAGACTCAAAAGAGCTAAAGAGTTGATTCGCTTAGCCGAAAGTGGTGAACTGATGGTAAGTGGTGAAAATGATTTTGTTTACTTGCCAAAGAGGTCAGCTAAAAATGTGCACCTTCGGTTGGCCACCAGAAATCAAGCGCCGGTCATGGTGATGGTGTGGACCGCCATAACAGCCGATGGTCGTTCTCCGCTCGTATTAATCGACCGTGGCATCGGAATAAATGCCGAATATTATCGTGGAAATATCCTGGAGGTTGCATTAAACCCTTGGGCACGCAAACATTTTGCCGGCAGACCTTGGACAATCCAACAGGACTCAACACCATCGCACTCAACACGCGCCACCCCAGAATGGTTACAAAATGAGGTTCCCCGTTTCATTTCCAGCGGCCATTGTCCGCTACCAAAATCTCCGGATACCAATCCGTTGGACTATTGTGTCTGGAGTATTTTGGAAAGCAAGATTGGCACTAAAAATACCAATGCCGATCACCTCAAGCAAGCGCTTCGCCGGGAATGGGCCAAATACTGCAGAGCAACATTCGGGCAGCGTGTGATGGTTAAATTGGCCGTTTGAAGGTCATAATTAGTGCCAAAGGTGACCAATTCGAACAAATCTAAACACATTTTAAAATTTGATGCTATTTCCGACATAGTTTACTCTCATTCAATAAAATTAAAAAGAAATGTAAAAATTATGGCGTTTGACTTTGTTGCAGTGTTTTAACTCACCCTCTATATATTCTTGATCAGCATAAAATTCTATGTCTATTTAGGGATGTTCATGCGTCCGTCTGTGGAAACCACTCAAGCTTCCGAACGAAGTGAAGTAAATTGATAAAATTTTATTCAGAGGTGTTTTAGGCCTGCAGGACTTACAGGGCGAGATAAAAAAGCTGCAACAAAGTCAAACGCCATAATTTTTACATTTTTTTAACAACAACAAAATTGTATAATTTTGGGATAAAACTATATTGTCCCCATGGTACAATGAAGAGAAGGTAGGCCAACTTTGAAAAAATTGCAAGTATAGAGGTCTACCTGTTTAGCTTGTAATGTCAGAATTAGTATCAAAACAATAAAAAATCAAATAACTTGTTGCATTTATTTTGAATAAATAACTGAAAACCACGATAACTGAATGAAAGGTCAACACTTTTCAAAATCATGTACTACATATCTCTAAAGGATTATTTCGCTACAATAACTCTAGATTTTGTCGATGCATACGTTGAAATAAACATTTTGAAAACACCCAAATTTGAATGTTTTCTGAACAATTTTTTTGTTATTGAAAAGAAAACACATACATAAACAAATAAATATGACATAATAAGCCAAGAAAATAAAGAAAAAATTAAAATCATATAGTATCATAGCCCTACCTTGATATCATTGTACCATGATTGTCCCTCTATCATGGATTCAATTTTGTGGTGAAACCCCAATATTCCATTCATGTTTTGTGGGTTTTCCGCAGTTTTGTGAAAAAAGGTTAAATAAACGAAATAAATTGTTGCATGCTTAAAAAGTCTATTTGACATAATAAAAGTCAATTTGACAGAACTAAAGTCCTCCCTGTTTCACCCCTTGGCAAATTATCCCATTATTCACCCACGAATTGGAATTAAAACCGACTATTTTCAAAAAAACAAACTCTGATGAAACAAAAAAAAACAATTTTCCACAATATATATGCATGCAGGGTCAAGATACTTAGACACATTTGGTATGTGTTTTTCATTTCAGCTACTAAACGGCATCGAATTTTAAGGAAAATGCAGCTGCCATTCTTGAATGTGGGGGTGTTGTTGCTACAAAATCGGATTCTATTTGTAACAAATAAATAAGTACGGCCACCGCAGTTACGTTGCTATGGGCAACCAACTTCGTTCGGCTGGTTGCAAGGATTTAAATGATTTTCATTGAAATATCTATCAATAGTCCAATAGTTTATGAACCGATAGGGTTTGAAAATCTATTGACATTTTCATAGAACGCATTTTCAAAAAGAAAAATTAATTTTAAAAAAAAAACAAAAACCAAACAAGGAAATGTCTCTCGTCAAGGAAAGCATTGTTAACGGAAAACTGTCAGAGGCAAGCGATGAACCATCTAAATCGGAGAAGGAACAAAAATCAGAGACAGCATTCGCTGAAGATCAAATACCCTTAGCCCTGTTGCCACCCGATCATCCGCTACTTCAAAAGTTTCAACAGACCCTTAGGGAATATCTTCTGCGCACCCGAGATAAGCTGATCAATGAAATTGAAGAAATCAAGTATTCGGTCAAGCAGAAAGAACAACAGCGCGAAGAACAGGGATCCACGTTGTACGACATGCAGGAGGAAATCGAACGCCAAAACGAACAGCTTGAAGAGTTTACCCAGCAAATAGAAGAAAATGTTCAGAAGCGGCATCACGAAGAGGAGGCTGTGCGCCAGCTGAAAGAGGAGTTCGAAAAGAGAGCCCTAATAACGAAGCAGCAGAAGACGCAATACAACAAGCGAATGTCTGAGCTGGAAAACATGCAAGAACTAGAGAGAAACATTCGCAAGTGGGCCGATGATGTCGAAGACGAAGTGAAAAATGCCAAACGTATTGTTAGCCGTGATGCCCAGCTACAGCAGCAGCTATCCGAAGAAAAGAAAAAGTCCGATCTACTCTTCTACCATTTGGACGTCGAGGTAAGAAAGAGTGAACGGGAACTGGAAATGGTGCACAATGAAGTCAAGGACATGGAAGAAGTTATGGATGTGCTGAATATGAGCGTGGCCAATGCCAATGCCGACCTGGAGGCACTGGAAACTGAACACAAACGCCTAACGCAGGCTTGGTCGGAAGTCATTGTGGCAATAGCGCTCAGAGATCGAATACTCTATCAAGTCCAGGAGGCAATTAAGTAAGTGGCTTATATATCCATCTGATTAGAATTCAATGATTTCCAGATTTACCTTTGATTTTCTGCAGCAAAGAAAGGGAAGCTATAAAACTAAATACCGCTGGTATTCAGGCTATCAAAAAGCAGATACGAAAAGAATTGGAACTGAATGAGAAATTGGAAACATTTAAGAAACGATTATCTGATGATTATACTCTGCTTAGAAGAGAGTGTAAGTATGGTCTCTATGCCGATATTCTCAGGCGATAGTAACGTAATATTGGCAGAACACATTTCGGACAGGTGAATTTTACTTAGCAAAATATTATTGCAGTAGAAATCTTTAGAACCTAAAACGGAGGTATTGGAAGGAGCTCCTTTACGAACACTCTGCTTATATAGACGTACTCAGATTGGGGCCTTCTTAAATGGTTACCCTCTTAAATGTTACATAGAGATGTTAATTTTCTGTGAGTGGGTAGACAAATGCCATCGTTAGGCTGGAAGAAAATCGGCGACACATTTCAAATTTTGTAAGATTTATTTTGAAATCGTTGAACCTTTTGTGGTGGAATTATTTTCAGGACATTGGAGTCGATCTACCACAGGACTTCTAGTCGATATATAAAAAAATATTTTACTGAAAAGAAAAAAGGATAATCTGACTTTGCTACGGGTGTGAAAATAGAAAATATCGGTCCACTCCATCAAGTACCTCCCCCCACAAAGGGTCAACATTTTGAATAATTACAACTCTTATAAAACGTGATGTTAGTGTCCGATTGTCTTCAAATTACACACATCACAATATTTTTTTAACCCAAGGTCTGGTGGGAAGATGGAATATAACGGACCACTTTTTCCGGTACCTCCCCCACAAAGGGTAAACATTTCGAATAACCATAAAGCTTAAAAACGCGAGATGAGCATCTAATCACTTTCAAACTCGGCACATCACAAAATCAATTTTGATGATGGAATATATCGGATCACTCCTTCTGGTACCTTCCCCAGAAAGGGTCAAAATTTTAAATAATTATAACTGTCATAAAATACGAAATGTGCATCCGATTCTCTTTCAAACTTTACACATCCCAATATTTCTACTAGCACATGACCCGGTGTGAAGATGATAGATATTATTGATCCACCCCTTCTGGTACCTCCACCAGAAAGGGGTCAAACTTTTGAATAACTATAAAGCTCACAGAACGCGAAATGAGCATCCGATTATTTTTAAACTTGGCACATCCCAACATTTCTTTCAACGTAAGATCAGGTGGGAAGACGGAATGTGCTGGACCACTCATTCTGGTTCCTTCCACACAAAAGGTCAAAATTTTAAACAATTATATTTCTCATAGAATGCGGAATAGGCATTTGACTTTCTTCAAATTTCAAACACTCCAATATTTCTATTAACACAATATCTGGTGTGATAATGAAATGTATCTATCAACTCCTTCGGGTACCACCCCCATAAAGGGGACATTTTGAATAACAAAACAGCCGTAAAATACGAAAAGCATTTGATTCTCTTCAAATTTTACACATCTCATTTTCATTTACAATTATTCGCAGGAAATATCAAATAAATGTTTGATTTTCTTTCAATTTTGCAAATTCCAATATTTTAATAACGGTTAGATGAAGTGGAAGACATCGGTCCACAAAGATTGTCACATATCTCATATAAAGTGAAGTGAGTCAAAATTTGGCAGATTATAATATTTTTATTTGACTTAAGTCAGATACGAAATGGATAATATTGGCCCACTCCTTCGGTATCATCCGGAGTCAACATTTGAATAATCATAACCAATGTCAACATTTATTTTGATAAACAGACATTGACGGAGGGTATACATCAGTCGGCATTTTATTTTCCATTTAAACCCGAATTTGCTGTAAATTGGCAGTGTGTGTGTTCCCAGTGTGTGGAAAACATTCTTGCACATAACTTTCCATATATGTCCAGATATAACTGTACCTCCACATATTCGGAATGTTGATGATATCAGCTAGATTTTTCAACAGAATTATCACAAATTTGGTGTTTGTAATAGTAATAGACACCACTTCCTCTAGCTGATAATTTGCCCTCGTATAGCCCCATATAACTGCAACACCAGATATTTCAAATTTTTAAAAATATAGCGTCATTTTCCAACTGATTTTTTTTTATATTTTGAAAGTTTTTCCAAATGGTGGAGGATGTTAGAAGAATCTATAGGCTTTCTTACTTGTTTTTTATACCCTCCGTCATACATAGGATAGGAATTCATCGAAATAGTCATTTTAATCCTAACAAAGTATATTATATATATATATATTAAAGGGTAGCACAGGACGAATCGTGTTATTTTCGACACACTGCCTTTGTCTACTCAATCATGTGCTAAGTATTTGATCGACATGGGCACCTAACAACAACCCCCATTTTGATTCATGTCTGTCACTGTCAAACGTTCGATCGTGGCATGATCGACTCGAGCAATTGCATGGTGTTCTCAAAAAAGATCTAACACTCACTGAAGAATAAGATTTCAATTCTCAATTACGAAAATATGCTGAAAATATTCTGATCATAAAGCAGTAGATAAATCTAAAATAAAATTTTTGTAAAGTACATTTTTTCACAGATACTTTATGCAACTACTTCTTTAACTGAATTAAAGTAGATTTCTTTTTAATTTATACCAGAAGTACACGTTCGATAAATGCTCTGTTCCAAAACCTGCAAGACGAGGCATTTTGCAATTTTGTCGCAATATTTTGTATATCCTTGCAGTTCTGAAACAGAGCAAAAATGTATAATATTCCTCAATAATAAAAATTAAAAATCGAATGGGTTTTTTTTCATAGCGCAATCTTAAAAGCAGGCAGCGTTGGTTGGCGAATGGCCGTTTTCATTGATAATTGTAGCATGTGGTTGCTATATTTTGAAAGAACACATTTGTACGACACACTATTCAACACCCTTCATTTAATGATCAATGCATGTTATGACGATGGGTTTGAGTCTGACCGACATGACGAGCCATTTGGATGGATGTCACGTACGGTTATGCGTTTGATCAAACAGGGCATAACATGACGAGCGTTATCTCTCCTTGGCATAAATAGAGAAATATGTCGCATTTGCAGCCCTTTTCGTATATATTCTTGATTAACGTAAAATTCTAAGAGGATTACGCTCATCCGTCTGTTGTAATCACGCTAGAGCCCGATTTTCGGTATTTTGATGATTGTAACCAAAATTTTCAATGGTATTGTCTGAAAATCCACACAAGGAGTTATTTAGGTCCACGATATCGTATATCCCCTATAAAACCTTACCCCCTGATATTCGGTATTTTGATAATTTTGGGGATATTATTCACCGCAATTGTTTAAAATTTCGTATTTAGATTTCGTAATGAGTGCGTATGCAGGCCCACGTCTTCGTTTACCCCCGATGTAACGGTTTCTCCGCCTAATCAATATTTTGATGATTTTGAAGTTCCAAATCGCCTATGACAGAAAATTGTCTATGCAGGTCTAGGTATTTGTATGACAAAAGTTGCCTATGCTAGTCCATGTCTTCGTATAGACCCTTGTATTTTTTTTTTTTTTTTTTTTTTTGTTTTTGAAAGTTTCCAAGTTCGTTCCAAATGTCTACCATTTGGAACGAACTTGGAATATTCAAAGTTCGGCCGGCCGAACTTACTGCTTTTTGCTTGTTTTTTTAATATAGATCCATCTTGTACCAAATAGAGATAGAAATATTTACATATATAAAATTTGATAAATATCGTGGATATTGCCAATATTCGCACCAGACACACTTACTGCAACGACATTCAAAGGCTCAAGACTTAATTGAGTTTGTTCTATGATATACATAAATGATTTCTGGTCAAAATTTAGATTATTAATTTGGTCTAGTGAGTGGTTCCTAGACATCCCATTTTGATACGACAGCTGTCATGCGCCCCAAATTAAATGTATGCTCTTTTAGCCACAAAACTGAGGTATGAAATAAAATAAAAATTTGGGTTATCTGTACATAAGGAAATACCAGCTGTAGTGCGATTCTCTAACTAGTTGACGACAATTAGCCCGAAATAGCCCGAAGTTTAGAAGGTAGCGTTATAGTGATGGTCCCCACAATCACCCCTATTACAGAATAAATGGGAGTTCCCATTCACAAGGTTAATGCGAATCCCCATTTACACTGATTTGCTATTACCAATTTATGGGAACAAATAAATTCAGCTTATACTTTCGAACATTAAATTATATTTGCTGATACCTGTGAAATTGTTTTCGTATGTCTATGTATGTTTAGACATTTTTAATTTTTTCAAAAAAAACCATGCAATTTTAAAGGGAATAAATGTTTCAAAATGTGGAAAATAATTCATTCCCATTGCCATTTGGGAAAAACAAAATTCATACCACCTCTCTGTACTTGTGACGAAGGGGATAAAATGTGAGGTTTGTGATCACAATCAAGTAGGTACCAAATACTGACAAAAGATAGCAGAATTAATAACACTTGATTGTCTGAAATAAATTATTGATCTCTTTTAATCTAATACATTTTCTACTCTTCAGGCAAAACGCAATCGGATATCCTGACTGGACTGGAAGAAAAACTCATTGAAATCCCCATTCTGCTCGAACAAACCGAAAAAGATCTGAAAGAGGCCAAGGTGGAGGGCACCAATTTGGACACAGAAATACGTCGAATACAAATAAAAATTGACAAGCTTAACAATCAAAAATATCTCAACGAAGAGAATATTCTGAAATTGGCCCAGGAACAGCTGATCACCGACAAGGCCAGTGAATATCGTCTAAAACTACTGAACAACTCGCAGGAGGAAAGGCGTACAATGGAGTTGAATTTATCACAGGCTCAGAATCAACTGGCGGAAACTCTACTCGAAATGGAACGTCACAAAGCGGATAATTTTCGAAATAGCCAAGAGAATGAAAAACTTAACGAAAAGCTGCTCAGGTTGGAGCATCAAGCGGACTGTATGGCTTCGGAACTGAAACAATTGGAGACGCAGATTGAAATCAAAATGAAACGAATGGATAAACTGAACAGTCAGTTGGATGAGCTGGTGCGTTCCAATGAGGGCCAAGAGATAAGTCCGACGGAAATGAAGGTACGTTCACAGTCAGTCGGTGCTGTGCTCCAAGACCTGGATTCTCTGGAATTCTTGTTCTTGGAAAATTTGAAATGAAAAATATTTTCTTTGTAAATTTCGCATTTTCATAAAACAAAATTTGAGCACCTGTTTCGTTGTATCAAAAATCCATGCTTCTTTAGTAATAAACACTCTGCTCTCTTTCTCAACAGATAAAACAAATGGAGAAATCTATACAAGCGCTGGATCAACAAATCAGAGACTACCAACAATTTTGGATAATGTTACAGAATCATTTTGTAATTCTTTCCCAAAAGAGGAGTGACCAAATGAATCAGATACAAATAACCAGAAAACGTAAATATCCAAATTAAAATTTTCTTTGGAACAAATAAATGACATTGTAACTCTGCCCGTTCCTCTCCTCCCCTCCACGCAACAGAATTGTCTATAATTAAGCAAAAATCTTTAAAATTGGACCAAGATCTCGAGCAAACGGAAAACATTACTAAGGAGCTTAACAGAGAAATACAAATATATCAATCCAAATTGGAGCTACTAAATGCCAGGGTAGCGAAGAAGCGCCAGCAACACGAAACCATTGAAAACGAATGCGAGCAGGAGCATGGTGAACTTGTGGAAAAGCTTAAGGTTGGTAAATTCGTTGGTCTACAAGAGAGATTGAGAAACAACTGTAGATTTCGGCACCTCTAGGGGCACGTAGTTGCAAATTTTTTCAATTTTTTTTTCTCAATATATATATATATATATATTGAGAAAAAAATTGAAAAAATTTGCGATCGATTTAAGTATCGGTAAGCAATTGGACATTATAGACATAGAAGCATAAAGATAGGACATTACGTAGTGGTCAGCGTGTTCATCTGTTTTTTTTTTATACCCTCCACCATACATAGTACGGAGGGTATATTAATATCCATATAACGGTAACCCCCGATATTCGTTATTTTGATGATTTTAACCACATTTTTTTAAAGGAATTGTCTGAAATTCTACACAATGAGTTCTTTGTGAGCACTTTGCCCACGGAACGAGAATTGTCTATATAGGCCCACCATATCGTTTAGCCCCATATAACGGTACCCCCGATATTCGGTATTTTAATGATTTTAGCCCACATTTTTTTAAGGGACTTGTCTGAAATTCTGCACAAGGAGTTCTTTGTGAGCACTTTACCCCCACGAAATCGTATAGCCCCATACAACGGTACCCCCCGATATTCGGTATTTTTATGATTTTAGCCACATTTTTCAATGGAATTGTCTGAAATTCCACACAAGGAGTTTCTTGCTCCACCTTGGAAACGAGGGTATATTAACTTTGCCATTCCGTTTGTAACATCCTTAAATATTCGTCGTAGACCCCATAAAGTACATATACTCATAATCAGCATAAAATTCTAAGTCGATTTAACGATGTCCGTCTGTCTGTCCGTCTGTCTGTTGAAATCACGATACAGCCCACATTATTTGACGTAGAGCGTCAAAATTTAGCAGAGCAATTTGTATTGTGTCTACGATGGTTGGTATTGAAAATGAGATATATCGGTCCACGTTCTGGTATAGTCCCCATATAATGGTACCTCCCGATATTCGGTATTTTGATGATTTATGCCACATTTTTTCACGGATTTGTCTGAAAATTGGTATTTGTAGGTCATAATGGGTCCCTGTGTGCGTGGCAAAACATTGCATGTATAGGTCCACGTTGTGGTATAGCCCCCATATAAAGGTACCTCCCGATATTCGGCATTTTAATGGTTTTTGCCACATTTCTTCTAATGTTTCCTTTACCCTAAGGTGGAGGGTATTAAAAGTTTGGCCCGGCCAAACTTAATGTTTTTTTTACTTATTAAGATTTTAATAGCATTTTTGATGAATTTTATTTTTTTGAAAATTTCCTAATTCGTTCCAAATAGTGGAGGGTATTCAAAGTTCGGCCCGGCCGAACTTATTGCTCTTTTACTTCTTTTTTTAAAGTAGCTAAAGAGTTGCTTCGCTTGGCCGAAAGTGGTGAACTGTCGAATTTAGTTTTCTTCGATGAGAAAACATTCTTTGCCCAGCAGTCAGACAAAAGACAGATCTGTGCAAAATTTTAGCTATCTATCTTAATTTTGTTTTGGCTGTAGCGTGATTACAAAAGACGGGCATAAGGACGGACAGGGCAAAATACATACCTTGTTGGGTCTAAAATTATTTCGACGAGTTACAAACAGAATGACGAACTTAATATACCCTCCATACTATGGAGGGAGATTTTCCTGAAAATTTTAAATTATACTGCAACATCGCCTGAAAGTAACATAGGCTATAGAAATTTTTGAAATTCCACTGGAGATATAGCATAAGAATCGGAAGTACCTTCCAAAAGTTAAGATTTTATATGCACACATCAATTGATAGGTTACAAATACAGTCTCCAAATTTGAAAAGCGTCGCGGAATTTGAAAAAAAAAATATGTTTGCCAAATTGTATGGAAATCGGTTCAGATTTGGATGTAGCTCCCATATATATTCTCAGCCGATTTCATGAATTTTATGCATTAAACACACTGCTTACGCCACATATTTGGATATAGCTCCCATACATATTTTCGGACGATTTCATGTATTTGATACACCAAACACGATACGTATGTCCGATTTCAATGAAATTCGGTATGAGTTACTAAATTTGGTACAAAAATAAATTTGTCAAATTATATTAAAATCGATTCCGATTTGGATATAGCTCCCATACATATTTTCAGGCGATTTTACATATTTGGTGCACCCCGATTCCTAAGAAATTCGGGCAGAGGGACGAGATCTGGTACCAAAAAAAAATTGCCAAATTATATTGAAATGGTTGAGGTTTCAGATTGGATCCGATTTTATAAAGAAGCATTGACCCACAACCCCTTTACAATGCTATTACGCTAACAGTATCAAACTGCACAACAATTTAATTGAGGATACGATTATTGCCTCTACCCCCACAGGCCACAATCAGTGGAATACCGAATATGAAGAGGCACTGTAATATGCGGACTATACAAAATAGTGGAGTGAATTAAAAATATAGTAGGAACAGTATTCATGTACTCGGAAAATTCTTCCGAACCCTTAAAAGTAACATTAAATCATGGGCACTATGCCCTATCGTCAGTAATTACACTGCGCCGCAGACAATCTTTGGGTTAGGAAATTTTTCGGTTGGTAAATAAAAATCCCAAAAGAGGGATTTTTTATTGTCCATTTTATATAGCTTAACCATACACAAAGGGCTGCGAATATTTTGCCCCATACTCCGCAAAAGTTACGATTAAGTTTTAAATTTGATACAGTCCTAGGGGTTACATGAGGAATCATTTGTACAAAATATGTATCAGGTTGGTCTACATTGTGATATAGCCCCCCTCAAATGATATAGCCCCTTTCAAATTCCTCAAATGTTGGTAATTTGAGATTTTAGAAAGGAAAACAAATTCTTTCAAATAATTATAAGTATAGGACCATGCTTCATTATAACTCGTATTTGAAGGTATCCGGTGATTTTAGCTATTACCAGGATCTTGGTCACATTTTTCAATTGATTTTGCCTTTATTTGGCATCTACCTTCTGGTAGAAGACCTCTTCGCGGAGATTTTTCAATGTCAATGTTTCGTAGTAGCGCTCATATAAAACTACCTCCTGATTTTACCTATTTCGAGGGTTTTGATTATATTTTCGAATCGATTTGACCTAAAATGCGTGTTTAGGCTACTTTGGGGGTAGAGAACCATCTTACATGGGCCTATTATAAACAGTTGAGGTGTACTTCTTAATACATATGCTATATTATTATGGTTTTTAACTCTCAAACTAAAACGGGCCAGCAACGCGGACTGGGCCACCTAGTATACATATATATTAAAAAGTATACATTAACTGTTTATAATATGCCCATGTCAGATGGTTCTCTACCCATTTGGATATGGCAACCATATAACAGCGTGTATAGAAAATATGCAAACTTTCTCGATTTTCTTCAATTAGAATTTTCAATTCCAAAAGGAATTCTGAAACAATTCTACACAAAATTCCATATCATAATATAACAGTCAATTTTTTCAGTTTCGCGATTTTTCTCAAAATTTTCTTTCATGACAACGTTTCCACTGTAATTACAAATAACCGAAAGAAATTTGGAGTCATATCGGCCCAGCCTTTTTCAACTGATATGTTACTATTTTTTCAATTTTTTTACATATTAATTTAAGAAGTAGGTGTGTCCAATTCCTCTGACCCCAAACAGATATGTAGGGTTGAGGGAGGGTTGGAGAGTCAAGATTCCGTCGTATACTAACTGTGGAACAGATATCTCCATGATTTTGGCAAATATTAAGATTTTAGATAAATCGAAAAAATGGGAGCAAAATTGGGCTTGGTAACTTTTTCTTTGCAAAAAAACCTAAATCGGGGTAGGACGAATATTAAAAAAAAATATCCAAATAGTTCCAACCTGTCTCAACTGATTCAATTACCAACGAAAAACAATTGGTTTATATACAGATTAAAAAGTAGGCGTGGTCAGTTCCTCAGCCCCTAGTTCCTCATATATATAAAAGGGGTGCGCTTCGCTACCCCTTTTGATTTTATATACATTCAAAATTTTATTTACGAATATATGTTGGTTAAAAAAAAACAAATTTAAAAATTAAAGAAAAAATATTGCACTACTTTAATGCGTAAATATACAAAACCATTAGAAACGCAGTAACATGACATACATACACGAAGGGTTTGTCCTTCGGATTTATTTATTTCATAGCAAATACCAAGCGTGCAGTAAACTGCAATCTTTTGAAGTTGAGTGGCATTTCTATTGCAATTAGTGAATTCGAGGTAGCAACATACTTCCCCGTAATAAGTGAATTTCAAATTAATTGTTGTGTTGTTTTTTAGTGTTAGCGTAAGGCGTTGTGGGTCAATGGTTCGTATTAAAATCATATCCCAATCTGATCCGATTTAAATATAAGTTAAAAAAAAAAATACTTTTACACCAAATTCCGCCATATCTTCCATATTTCATTGAAATTGGTGTGTCAAATATGTGAAATCGGCCGAGAATATATATATGGGCGCTATATTATATACATTTATTATTTTAACCAAATTCCGCCACACATTCTGAATTTCATTGGTATCGGTCATATATATCGTGTTTGGTGCATAACATGTATGAAATCGGCCGAAATATATATGTTAGCTATACCCAAACCTCAACTGATTTCAATATAATTTGACAATTTTTTCTGGTGCCAGATTTCGTCTCTCTCGCGTTGGGTGCATCAAATATGTGAAATCGGCCGAAAATATATATGCGATCTATAATCAAATCTGAGCATAATTGAATAGAATTTGTCAAATTTATTGTTTTACCAAATTAAGTCACTCATACCAAATTTCATTGGAATCGGAAATACGTATTGTGTTTTATGCATCAAATATGTGAAATCGGCTATAAGGGAGCTATATCCAAATCTGAACCGATTTTAATATAATATTTATTTTCTATTCAAAATCCCGTTACATATTCCAAATTTCTTTGGAATCGGACATACATATCGTGTTTGGTGCATAAAATACATGAAATCGGTCGAAAATAT